TTGATTGGGGTAAAATTAAGATAGAAGAGGTGGACCACGTCATCCTGAAATCTGAACTAGCAGTAATTTAAATAAATACAATTTACTGGCCAAAAAATTTATCATAAATTTACATTTGAAATTATTGTTAATACAGTAGACGCCGCTTATAAGACTCACGGATATAAGGTTCAGTCGTTTATTAGACTCAAAATCGTCTAGAACGGTCCGGACGTATCCAAATACATTAAAAATAAATCGGTTATAAGACTCAACACTTCGGTTATAAGACTCAAATTTCGTAAAATAAATAGTAGAAAATAAACTTTTTTAAGTTATAATTTAGAAATAAATTGGTACCTATTGAAAAATTAAATAATATTCGTGTTGATTATTTCTAGTTTCTGTTGGTACCTAATAACGTATAATAATTTTTATCGCTTTTTTATAATTTTTATCGTATATTTTCGGAATATTAGAAGAAAATAAAAAACAAACTAAAATTACAAATTTTTTTCAAAAATAATTTTTATATGTAATATGTATTTACGTTTAATTATTTTAGTTTTTTTTATCGGGATTATTAAATTTATTCAATAATAAAGTATGTAATATGTAATATGTGTTAATGTATTAAAATCAAAGCAAAATATGTAGTAAAATAAAATTTATAAATACGTAATTAATTTTTTTTTTCCACTTCGCCTATAAGGTTCATTCGGTTATAAGACTCACTTTGTGCTGGTCCCAAAGTGAGTCTTATAAGCGGCGTCTACTGTATATAAACAGTGTCAATGGGAAATCATCCAGGAAATCTTTATAATTTGAGCACCCCTAAAAATATTGGTATAGTTGCGTCTATACTCTTAAGCTGTGTTGATTAGGTCTAAAATAAGGAGAGATAATATTAAAGATATATTTTTTTGTGATTATTGTTTCAAAGTTCAAACATTTTTTATAATTAACTATAGGTCTTAGTCATGTAGACTAACACTTCGCTTTTTTCAATGGTTTTATATAGTTGAATTCAAATTTAACCAATTTAACACTATTACAGTGAAAATGTATAGGAAGGCATAGGTGCCTGCATGCAGTAGGAAACTAAATTGTTTAAGTATTTTTATTCCTGTGATTCTACCAATACGACACATGAAAAATAGCCACGAGCTGAGTAGCTGACCTGCCGCCATCACCTTCAAAAATAATTTTCTGTTGTAGATTTGAAGACAAAAATATTATAATTTTTGAATTCAAAAAATTGATGTGTTTATGTTTGTCATTCAAAAACGATTCTGAGAGCAAACTAGATTGCTCAGAATCAATTTCAAACGCTAACAATGATTTAGGACCTAGGTTATAATAAAAACAACGACTAATAAATACATGACCATTGAGGAACATTCGACGCCTTTTATACGGCAACAGTACGACTTATCCAGTTTCTTAAGACTACATGTAATATTAAAATGTTTTACTTTTAACTTTTAAGTGAACTTAGTAATTTTGTTTGAAAAATTCTCTTTGATTTTTAATAGGTATTGGAAATAAAATGTATAAAAATCAATATCAAGTTATAGTGAGTTATAATTCAACCAGAATATATCATGCCATAGGTGAACTGGTTTCGATAGCAGGGTGACACCATTAGATTCACCCATTCTCTCTTGGAATAGAGTATAGTAGTTATATTGAAATAATCTAGATTATAGATGACATTCATCATTTAACATGCATTCATGTTTTAAGAAATGAATACTCTAAGTCTCTAAGTAATACAATGGATGTACAAACATTACATTTTATATTCTTATGATAATATAAGTAATTTGTAAAAATATAATTTACATTTTATTTTTGGTGTACCTATAGTAAATATAATTATACATATAATATTTTAACTTATTTTTACTAGTATTGATAAATAATATTTTGATTGACAATAATTAAAAAAAAAAAAAACATTTACTATAAAATTTAAAAAAGTTATATAAAGGTATATAAATCTATAAGCTTTTACAATTGTATATACAAAATTATATAATTAAAATAAATTAATTTGTGAAGGAACAATAAATATATATAAATATTAAATATAGTTGGACATTTTATTTAATGCAGTACTTAAATAAACAATAGTTATAATACAATGAAATTTTCATTTTTGTACCAAAGGATTTCCAGGATATTTATTTAAAAGCTGAAAAAAAATATTAAAATTAGCTTTGTGTTTAGAGAATAATAATTCACACTTCACTTACAATTTCAATATGCTTTCTTAACTCTGTTGGAGTTACTTGGTGCAATAAATGTTCTTGTTCAAAAAATGAAAAATCATCTTCTAATTTTGAAGATGAATTACTATTGTTAATAGATTTTTTTCTTTGGTATTTAATATCACTATTTAATTTCTGAAATTTTATAAGAATTCAAATAATTTATTGTCCATTAGTATTATAATACTTAAGCATTGTATTTGCTTACCGAATTAGATTGACTATCAATGTTCACATTTTTTACTACTCCCATTACACTTTTAACCAATTGTCGCTTTTCTTGAACTTCAGCTTCTAAACGTTTTTCTAATGCAGAAATACATTCTAATTTATCTTTTACAAGTATTTCAAAATGTTCCAACTCTTCTCTGTGTTTTGAAATAAGTTGTGTTTTTTCTTTTTCATACCTGAATACAAAATTATTTTATGATTTTTTTTGTTTTAAAAGCAATTTGGAATTTTTTTCAACCTTTCTTTAAAATGAATTATTTGGTTATTCATTTGGAGTTTTATCAATTTATTTTCCTCATTTGTAATTTGAACAATTCCATCTAATTTACGCTGATAATCAGATACTTTTTCAGCCAGCATAGCATCTAGCTGTTTTTGATAAAAGCTTTTTAGATCATTTTTCACAGTTTTAATTTCTTCCTTTGCTGCATTAAGTTCCTCTGCAGTTTGTGTCTGGATAACAATATTTAGGTATAATAATTTTAATAATAAAACACTTAAATACATTTTTTATTAAATACTATTAATATAATCTAAATACCTCAGTACTTTTCATTTGATCTACAATGTCTTCAATTCTACGCTTTTGATCTAAAAGTTGATCATATTTTAATGTTTTCTCACATAGTACTTTTTTTTCTTGATTTAATACAATAACTTCTTTCTCTAACTCACTACACTTATTTATTGTTCTATTGCATTTTTCGGATATCTAAAACATTAAACATAATAATATTGAGTTTATACTTAAGATAACATTATTTTTAAATTACTACAGTACAAATTGTTTAGTACATCATCAGTTAATACACCATACTGCTTAATACACACAACATTTTAAGTCCTAGCTGAAATTTTGTGTGATCAAACTATGTGGTCCCTTTGAAGTTTGAAGTCGCATTAAGCAATTTCTACTGTATTTTTAAACTCACGCTTATATTTTGTTCTTGTAATTTAAACAATTCATTTTGTAGTAATTCATTTTCTTCAGTTTTTTTTTCATAACTTAGTTGTAATTGTTTTGTTTGTTCTTCTACTTTTTGGCATTTAATTAATAATTCATTTAACTTTTTTTCAGCATTTTCAGTTCGAGCCTTGTAAGAATTACTTCGAGAAATTGCTTTAGCTGTATCACTTTTATAGTGTTCAATTTTTTCTTTCATTGTTTCCAAAATTTCTTTTTTATTTTTGCGCTCAGATTGTAAGTCCCTGTTGATTTTTTCATTGATTGTACTATATGCTCTTACTTGACTTAAAATCATAGCAGACCGTGCAGCAAGATCATCAAGAAGATTATTTTTTTGGCAATCTACTTCTTTATATTCAACCATTTTTTTTTCATAATTTGTTAATTTTTCTTCTAAATTTATAACTTTTTTTTCTATATTCTGTAACATCCAACAAATATAAAAAAATATATTTAACAAATTATTTATTTAAATGTTTTTGCATAGTCTTATGTATTTTAAAATGTATAAGTTGAGAATCAAAAAAATGTTTACTTGTCTACGATAAATTTCTTTTCCGAGTTTCAACCACAAATTTTCTTTTGAAACTGAGTCCAATTTTTGGTAATCATTTAAAGCCGTATTTACACCTGGGGTTACATTTTCCAAGTTGTCACATAAACTTAAAGAAACATATTAGTGATATTACTATTATTACTTACACAAATATAAAAAAAAATAACAAATTAAATAAGTATATACCTTTTTAAATTGTTATCTTCTAATCCATCACAAACAGTTTTTTTGGTTGTAACAGGAGATCCAACATCTTTTTCTTGAAAACTGACATTACGCTGAGCAGGGCCATTATCTATATTTCTTAATAACTTATCGTTGTACTCGTAAGTATTCACCATTTCATGCATCAGGGAATCAATGGAACTATAGTTTATTTTTCTTTCGGCATTTCGTTTTAGAGGTGAGGAAGCACTAAGAGGACTGGACAGACCATTGCTGATATAACTAGTTTCCATTTGTTCAATTTCATTAATTTGATTTGATAAAGTATCTAAATTTGTCACTAAATTGTCAATTACGCCTTTGAAACTATTAGAGCTGATCGACAACTCTTCAGTGACCGTGTCTTCAATGGTTTCACTGTCTGAAGTGTGGACTTGAAAGAAATCTGACGGCAGTGACACTAAGAAGTCAGTATTTTCACTACAGGAGTCACTCATGATTGATAATTTCGTAGAGATAAGTCTATTGTCATAATTATTTAAAAATAGAACTTACAAAGTACAACATTTTTGAAATCATCATATACATAATAAATAATAATATTACATTAATATAATCTCAAATCTCATAAAATTAGTAATTACTGTTACTGCTTATCACTGATATAATTTTTTTTTTTTGTTTACATCGTCACAACACGATAAACCAAAAATCGAGCATTTCCCGTGATAACGTGTTCAAAACCATTGTGAACTTTGTGAATATTTGAGTTCCATATTTTGTAAATATTTGAAATAGTTGAATAAACCTTATTATTATTGTATTTAATATGGCTAGTAAATATGAAGGGTTAGTATTATGATTAATATAATTGTTTTTAGGTATTGAACATTTAATATATTTAATTTTAGATCGAAAACTGTGAGTGAAGACGAGAACACTACATCCAAAGATATGACGCTTGCCGACAAATTAATTAATGTTAGTATACGTTGTTTATATAATTTTACTGTAGATTTGAAATTTATCTGAAATATTATGTTGAAACAATCTGAATTATTATTACTTTAGTGAAATGATATCAATACACATTTTTATACATGTTATTGTGCCAAACATGTGTATTGGATATGGTCAAAATATTATAAATATGGTTGAGTTAGTGAATTATTGATGTACATAGTTGTATTTATTTATTTTTGTATTATAATGTAGGTCTGTAGTCTGTACAAAAGTTATTTCTCTTTCAACATAGGTATGTTATTAACTTTACCGATCAAAGAAAATCAAATGCTAGATTTTCAATATTTACATGGGTTACTAGTTATTTATGATATTAAGAGGACGTGATACCAGCATTTGTTGTCTCCGTCTTATAAGTGCCTAACATAGTGAATTCTATGCAAAGCAGAACATGTGTAGCTCCGTTAGTTTAAAAATTTGAGTGAATTGACCTCTTATAAAATCTAAAGGTAAGATTATTATTATTAATATTATCTAGACAACCTCATGGGCTTTTAATTATATTTTAATTTTAAATCGAGCTGTGAGTATTTTAAAATTGTAAATTATTTGTAAATTTTAAAGTACTCATAAATCGCTTAAAAATTAAAATATAATAAAAAGCTCATGAGGTTGTCTAGATAATAATTTTACCTATAGATTTTTTAGGAGGTCAATTTACTCTAGTTTTTAAATTAACGGAGCTACACGTGTTTTGCTGAGCGTAAAATTTTGCTATGTTATGCACTTGTAAGACGGATACAATAAAATACTAACACAAACAACTAATTGAATTATTAAAATAAATTAAAAAAATTATATGAAAAGTTTCACAGTTAAATATTAATTTATTCTATGTTCATCCGGCTTAAGGTTTTTATATCGAGATTTTTCATATTATAAATACTGTCAAACAATAAAGATATAATTGAAGATGTAGTTAAACCCTATAAAGTAATTCTGTAAAAAATACACTTTAATATCATTGGTCGACCAATAAGTTATTTTTTAATTTAAGTTTAATACAGGTAATTTTACTCGATGATTATGATACTGAAATATAATGTTTAATAAAAATAAATTCGGGTATTCTAGAATTCTAGATATAATTTGTTCTAAACATTATCATAATAGATTATTGTACATTTAAATTCAATTATCAGAAACACATTTTTTTTTTTAGTCATTGATGTAGAAAATTCATTAATAGTAAAGTTAATAATTAGGTTAACATTTTGAATTATATTTTGATAATTTATTTGAACAAGTAGGTATTCCAATTATTTGATAAAATTGAAACAAATACAAATGTAATTTTAATTTTAACCTAACAGAATTATTGGTATGATTTTTTACCTATACCACACATTTTTCTATAAAATTATAAATTAATAAATTATAAACTATTTAAAAAAAATATTATCCACTTCATATTATTTATATTTTATGACTTATGAATACAATGATTCAAAATTCAAATTAAATATCTAAAATATTATTTTCACTAGTAAATATAACTAAAGAGTAGAGTAAGTTCGCAGTTTTTGTTCAGTTGAAAAAAATTAAAATGTAAATTTTTATGTAATTTAAACGTATTTTGTCAAAGATTCTTAAAAGACATGATATTATTACTTTAATTTAAAATACTACAATGGGTAAAGTGAAAAGTAATATAAAAAATATAACAATTTAAATGAATCTTATTTTAATATTTTTAAATTCTATTTAGATACCACTGTCAATACCTTCTGGTGATCATAAACTTCAACATCAGTATTGGTTTTGGTTTAGTCGAAGATTTCCTGGTAAACCAGGAAACACCCCAAGTTATGATCAAAACCTAAAATATCTAGCAAGGTTTGGTTCAGTTGAACAATTTTGGACAATTTATAGCCATATGGTAAGGCCGTGTGCCTTGCAATCACACAGTGAATTCCATTTATTTAAAGTCGGAATCAAACCAATGTGGGAGGTAATTTTATTGGTTATATTCAAGTATTTAACAAACTAATGTACAACACTAAGCAACTTTTTACTTGATTTTCTATTTTTAGGATGAATCAAATGCCCGGGGAGGAAAATGGGTTTTACGAATACGTAAAGGCCTAGCCTCCAGGTGCTGGGAGAATCTTATTTTAGCAATGTTAGGCGAACAGTTTATGGTGGGTGATGAGATATGCGGAGCTGTTGTTTCTTTGAGATTTCAAGTAAGCTGACACACATTTTTTATATTAATATTGTTTGTATGTTCAATAATAAAACTTATTTATTTCAGGAAGATATAATATCAATTTGGAACAAGACTTCATATGACCAAGGGGCTACTAACAGAATAAGAGATACACTACGCAGAGTATTAAATTTGCCACCCAATACAATTCTAGAATATAAAACACATAATGAAAGTATCAAATCGGTATCTAGTGTTTATAAGATGTAAATTATACTGATTACAATCAACATGAATTAAATATAAAAAATTCTTTATTGAAAAATTAAATATTAATTTAAAAAAAATAAAATACAATTTATTATTTACAATTTTTTTTTTTTTTTACAACCCAATTATCCATTGGTGGATAAGACATTTAAAAATATCCATAAAAAATATGATGGCAGTGAGTATCCAAACAAAAATGTATTAAATATAGTCTTATTACATTTATTTATCTATAAGTGCAAATTGTATGGCATTTGAAAGTTTGATAATGTTTGAAGCATAATAGAGATCTTAAAACTATAATCAATAATAAATTTTATCAAATCGTTCAAATGTATAGTAAAAACATAGTATAATAATCTATTTAATAGATTAATTATACTTTAATGCTTTCAGAATAAATTAATATCTAATAACTAATAATGGAAACAAGCATATTGAGACATAGAGTACAAAACAGTTTCAAACTATTGTTAACAAGCGGATTCGTAAGTAAAAATATCCCTGTGCATTATTGATGTTGTAATATTGTTATTGTAGTCATACCTGAAATAATAAATATTAGATGAGATATAATATAGCATTAATGCACTAATACATTCTTACCCAAAACAAAAGCTAATGCTAATTTTAAATTGAAAGAAATACGAAAATTCAGAATGTCTGAATCTTCAGATGATGGTAAAAGTAATCCGCAAATACATACACCAGCCATAAATAGAGTTGTGAGATTTGGTCCTGGAGTATCTAAAATATTTTTAAAGAGATTACAATTATTTTTTAATATTTATGTTGAATATTTAATAGGGGTACCTAAAAATGTACATTTAGATGTGTGAAGTTAAGAATTTTAATTTAAGAGAAGGATCAGGGGCGGACTGAGCCTGTAAAAGCCTATTAACTTCCTATTATAGTAGGCCCAATATTCAGAAAAATTCAGATGAGAAATTGGTATTTTACCATAAAAATAACATAATTCCATTTATAATTATACCAATAATATATTATCAAATAGTCTCGATTTATAGTATTTTATAAAATAAAAAATTATTATGCAAATCAGAAATTGCAGTTGAAGTTAATAAAGATTTAATATGTGCTATCCCTTAATTTTGGCCCATTGGCGCTTATTAATGAAGGGCCCCGTGTCCCTGTAGTACAAGGGCCTATTATCCTACAAGACAGTAGGTCAGTGGGCCAATACGCCCCTAAGGAGGATATACCTACGTCCTACTTGCATTGTCGCAGTCTTAAAAACTCTTACTGTATGTTCTGAATAATCTAATTTAACGTTTAATATTAGAGTAAATTGACCTATTATCAAATTTTGAAGTAAGAATAATTATCTAGTGAATCTTGTAGGTTTTATTTATATTTTAATTTTAATTTTATAGCAAAGTTATGATCATTTTAAAATTTGCATGCAATTTACAATTTTAAAATTACCATCACTCGCATTAAAATTAAAATATAAAAAATAAAATCTATACGATTCTCTAGATAATAATCTTCTAAATTGTTAATAGGTCAATTCACTCTAATATTAAACATAACAAAGTTAAATGGATTATTCAGAACGTATAATTTGCTTTTTTAAGCGTTTGTAATACGAAGACATCACATGTGCGAGTGTAGCGTCTTTTTAATATTCAAAGCCTCAAAGGTATTATTGATGTTCTATGTTTACTATACAAACTAAAAAAATTAGTATACCTACATGGATTTACAAATAAAAATAGAGGGCATGTACTGAACCCCAAAATAACTGGATAATAATAGCATATGATGGCAAAGGCCATAAGTCCTGGTTGGTAATATACGCGTATAATACATTAATACCACATGTATAAAATTAATAAAACCCATAACACTTTTTAACAACTAAGACATGAAGAATATTAATTATACATTTTTATCTTCAATTTATAACTATTAAATAGTGATAATACTGTAAATTTTAAATTTTAATTAGTACAAACTTATAAATTATTAACAAATTAACAAATCACATCAACTAGGTGAATTATTTTGAATATTGAATAAAGTAAAAACAAATTTGTTTTTTGTTATTATAAATATTAATGTAGTTATTAGTAAAAATGAACTTAGTAATTAATATGAGAAATTAACAACTCACATTAACTTGGTGAATTAAACACAATAATTGCTGTTCAGCGCAGCCATAAAAAAAACTTTTACACAGCATAAAATGTATGAAAGGTGTAACAAAAGGACTTGACAAAAAAAAAAAAAGAAATTATGCTATTTAAACATATGACAAAAGTTGTTGATATTATATGATAAGTAAATAATTTACGAAATATACTCATGTCAGCAAATTCCCAAAAAAATATTTTGAAAAAAGTTATTAAGTTCCAAATTAATTTAATCAATAAAAAATTCTAAAAAATAAGCTACTTGACTTACCTAGATAAATGTTTTTACTATAAAAATATTGTTCTTATAATCAGATTCACAAATTGACTATTTTGAATGTATCCAAACAAATTTTAATCAAATTTTAAATTTTATATTTTCAGTTTTAATAAAAATAATTTTTTGTATAAGATATGTATAGTGCAAGTTACTATAAATTATATAAAAAAAAAAATTTCAAATATTTATTAGAACAAAAGTTATTCCAAAAGTCAGTTCTATCTGTTACACCCTGTATAACTAAGTACATTTTATACGTTTTACTCGTACGAATAATAAGTGTTTTATAGGTACTTTACTGTATTATACGTTCTAACCCTACCAAAAATAATTGATTTCTATTAAATTTTAAAGTTGAAATACTTTTAAATAAAAAAAATTAAAATTCAATTAACTTTTAAAAGCTATATTTTAACAATGAAATGCTGAAGCAGGAGTTAATAAGACTCCATTAAATGCTATTGAATTTGAATGTAATAAATAATAGTAAAACATAAAGATGAAAATAATATAGGTTAAGGAATTTAATTATTTTTAAATGAAATTAAAGGCCTGAATTATAAAACATAAAGTATTTTATCAAAACTAAAGTCTAAAAGGGATCATTACAATTTTCAATTTGAAATTAAAACAGCTCACTTGTATTACAGTTTTGTCTTATTTCAGATTCATTATCATAGTTATCAACGGATATATCACTTCTGAGTAATTGCTTAAAATTTTCAGCTGGTAGCTCAAAATTTTCGGAAGACCTTACTAATATTGTTTCAACATCTTTGTATCCAATGACTTTTTTGGTCGTATAATATTGCATTTGTATTCGGAATTTATCTCTGATGTCGCAGAATGCTGGCGCAGGAGCATTGTGTCTGACAACTATATCCACTCGAGAACTGGCACTTATTGAACCTTCTGGTTCAACTACAGTATACTTTTTTGTGCACGTACAAAAAACTATAAACAAATAATAACATAAAAACACTAACAGAAATAAAAAAAATAACATTGAATTTACCTTTGAACCTGACTGGAAAGTCGTATGGATTAAATAGCGTAATTATTTGCCTGTGAGATTGCTTGTCCTCCAGACTAAAAGTTAACGATTGGGGACTGACAAATACAGGGACTTTACATTCGGTCATCATGACTATTTATATTTTATAACAATAGGCATCTCTTCTCATTGTATCGTGATTGTTTAAATGGTGTAAATTCTATTACCACTATTACGTTCTGGTTTTAATAAACTATTGTTTGTGATGCAACTCAATGAAAATTATTACATACGCAACTTTTGTTATTACCTAGTACCTAAAAAGCACAAATCATAATCAACAAAAGATTTGTTGTTTTTTTTTATCTCTAATCTCTTATCATTTTATTTTCCATATTATTATATTATTATCACGGACTAAGATATACAGGACTGGACACGACAAGGTTGGAGGGTGTGGGGGGTTGACTACGAAATGTTTTACAACAGGCAGTGTTCGGGGGGATATTTTCCTTTTAGCATTACTAGCGCCGTCCTAGTGGATACTTATGGAACTAGAACACATCATACAAATTTCTAGTTCCATAAGTATCCACTAAGACGGCGCTATTGTCAAGGTGTATTGATACCATAGACCAGGGGTCTCCAAACTTTTTTATTCAAGGGCCACAAAAAAATCAAATGCTCTTAGCGGGCCAAAAGTTTATTAACACATATAATTTTTTATTTTATGATAATATAGGTACCTACCTATATAAATAATATGTTTACTTTATATTTTTGTATAAAATATTGTTTACTTTACAATATACTTAAATAAAAATAAATAGGTATAAATATAATATAATATAAAAACATTTTTGAAATAATTTTTTTTATCTATATTTACATATGCGGCCATGCGGGCCACGGGCCGGTTAAAACTTGTTGGCGGGCCGTATCCGGCCCGCGGGCCGTAGTTTGGAGACCCCTGCCATAGACCTATTAAGAATCTTAATAGGTCTATGATTGATACAATCACAATACAATACACCTTGGCTTTTGTGTAAAAATATTATCAAATTAAAATAAAATAATATAATATAATATCATGACTTCATAAATATTTATAATTTTATAATTTATTTAGTCATGACTCATGATAAATATTATATACACTGAAAAAAAAGTCTGGTTGTAGAAACAGAAATATTGCAGTTACAACTGTGAAATTTAGTTGCCTCAGTGACAACAGTATTTTTAGTTGCAAAAATTAATTGACTTTTGTTAATTTTAAGTCGTTGGATATACAAAATAGTTTTGTTAATTGAACCGTACTTGATTTGGTATTCTCAACATGATTCTTGTATTAATAACTGAATACATTTGACTTAGTAAACAAAATGTTTAGTTAATTACACAGAGTGTTTTTGTTTGTCCAGCAAACTGTTATACTAATACAACATAATTATATTGTAATATTTCAAGTATCTAGAAAATTATTTTGTTACTAATACTAACCTTTATGTTACAAGTATTGAGTTTTTCTAGTTACAGAAAACAATAATTGTTTTTACAAGGAACTTCATTTTGTTGTTAATATCAAATATTAATGTTGAGTATAAGGTTCTTTAAGTAAAAGCTACAATACTATTATGTAAAACGTACTATAATTACTGGTTACACATACAAAATAAATTGTTGTTAGAGCAAATTATTTTATATTTTTTCTATGATGCTCAATATGTGTAATACATATTAAACTATATCAAAATAAAAAAAGGCATTAAATATATTATTCATAATATAAAAGGTTTTATTTTATATAAACAATTTATATACATCACTTAGATATTTAGGCATATATTCATACAATAATTTAAAATATTATAGTACATAATAATTTAAAGTTTAAAGCAATAAAAAAAAAAATAAAATAATAAAACAATAAAAAAAAATAGAAACAAAAAATAATAAAATTATTATAAAGGGTCTCTAACTGTAACATATTTAGTTCCATCTGAGACTACATTTAAAGTATTGGGTATAGGCGACAATAATGCATTTTGAAAAATAAATTTTCTATTTGATTCTAATATTTCAACCTCATAAGCATATACATGTTCATAAAAATCCACTGTACTTAAAAGGCAACATTCAAAAATAACCCCATGAGAACCATAAAGAAAAATATTTTTTATCATCACAAAATTTGGTTTGTCATCATTTAAGTCTTCAGTCAAAATACTATTAACCCTATAATGTGTTCCTTTAATTTCAGCCCAATTAATACGAGTTAATGGTTTTTCAGTTCTCAAATTCAATTCAACTTGTATTTGCCTAAGTTTTGAAGGATTTATAAATTTAGTAGGACCTATATTAACTGTACTACATAATTTCCCATGATTAAATAATTTATTTAGCTGAAGTTGATGTTTTATAGCCAAAGTTAAGCAAATATTGCGCCTGTTGAAGGATGATCTTGCTGATATTTTTGAAACCCTGTGTTTAGCTTCAAATCGCATCGACCATAAATGTACAACAGGACCATGTTTTCTTATCATAGATGGATAATGTGTAAGGAAATGGAATTTTGGTTTAAGATTACTTTTGCTGTATTTTAAATACAGATTATTCATTTCACCTATTAAGGTTTCTAGCAATGTACAATTACTTTCCTCAAGTGATGTTGACAACATTATATCTATTACTTTACGCATAGTCAAATACAAGTCCCAAATCGGTTCACCTAAAGGTACAAAATCCCCAATAAGTAGGGCAAAGTATCTTATTAAAATTAACATTTCAGAAGCAGATTGCCTAACTTTACCAACATTAATATGTTCCATAGATAGTGTGCATGGTTTATTGCTTTCTGGCCCGAAATCATAACAAGAAATTCTATCATTCAATACTTCCAAGGAAAATAATTTTAATTCTTTTATGTAATAGACTAAAATGAAACTCATAACATATTTACAACATCCTTCAAACATATCATGCATAACATCTACACCAACTTGATCAAATAAATTAAAGTCGTTAATATCCAACCATACACATTTTTCTTTTATCCCTGTAGAAGACAAGTCTTTTCTTTCTACATCAATAAAATATTGTTCTGTAGACCTCAAGAGTGATTTATCTTCATAACATTGAGTTTTAATATTTTCCTTATTCATAGTACAAATTCGACAGCAGAAATTGGAAGAAAAACTTTCAACAAAACCAGTAATGGCATGTAAGCCAAGATTATCACCTAAAATAAGTCCTAACTCAAAATAAATTGTTCCCTTGAATTTTAAGCTATCTATATACACACCAGTTTTCATCAAAAAATTGAATTCATCTATAATAGAATTGAAAATTACTCTGTTACCAAACTGTACTCGGTCAGAAGAGTGAAACAGCAATGCTAAAAAAATATTTGACAATGTAGTTGAACGGTTAGGTGGCAAGCATGGTATCGATACATAAACTGCACCTAGCTTATGGATACCAGAATGGCTCCCAAGAACATTTCCACTCTCATAGTCATCAAAAAACATAAAAAGAGGGAGTACTAATCGTCCTTCATGATGTTTAATTCGAGTTTGCCAGTAACTACCTTGTATGAAATTAGTTATTACGCCACTATTATTTTTTAAAGTTGTCATATAGTCAAAAGTTTCAGAAAGAACATTTTCAAGTGAAAAAAATTTTTGTAAAACATGCCTTAGTGGTATTACTTGTTCCGTGCAGTTGGAAGGTTTTAAAACTGACAAACCTCTTACCATCATATTATTTAATCTTTGACCAATTACTTTTTCTTTTGGTGGAATATAAGAACCTTGTTCAGAAAAGTATTGAAAACGTTTGTGTTCAGTTTTGAAATTTAGTAAGGCACCTTCTACTACTTTAATAAAATTGGTAAAAATATTGAGACACTCTGCAGGTAATTGGCCTTCACATATCATTTGTTCAACATAAGTTTTAATACAAACAGCAATACCTTCAGAAAAAACGGTTTCCATCCCATCTACCACAATTTGTACAGCGTTCCGGGGCATGATAGGATTAGCATATAAGCAAGAAAAAAATTTACATAATATTTGATTCAAAGTTTTAGATGGCTCAATAAACTGTCTTCTATTAGTTTCATCTAGAGAAACATAATCTGATATTGGATTTAGGATAGGCGTAGAATCTAAATTAAAACTTGTTTCATGGTATTGTTCGAAAATAGAAGGTAGTATTGGGTTAGTATGTTTTGACAAATGTTTGCGAAAGGAATTTTTTAAATAGAATGATCTTGAGCAATCCTCTTCATTACATTGAAAAAAATGGAATTCATGATTTAAATGTTGTAAATCAAAATGTTTGAAAAGGCTCTTTATGCTATCAACTTCTTTTTTACATAAAAAACACTTCGGCATTTTTCAATATATATAGAATTAAGTTTTATTTTATGTAAATAATTAAATCTTATAAAACAAAAAAAAAAAATACTTTGTTAGGCAACTTTCTAATATTTAATTAAAATTATGAAAACTGATAATATGCAAATAAAACAATAGGTACTCATTTTACAATAGGTATATATTATAAAAGTTTAATTTTACGTTAACAATTAATTCTAAAACTGATATGTAATATATAAAAAAAAATACTTTGTTAGGCAACTTCCTAATATGTAATTAAATTTATAAAAACTGATAATTTGCAAATAAAACAATACTCATTTTACAATAGGTACGTATTATAAAAGTTTAATTTTACGTTAACAATTAATTCTAAAAGTGATTTGTAATTAAAAAAAAATAAAATACTTTGTTAGGCAACTTCCTAATATTTAATTAAATTTATAAAAACTGATAATTTGTAAATAAAACAATAGATACTAATTTTACAATAGGTATATATTATAAAAGTTTAATTTTACGTAAGCAATTAATTCTAAAACTGATATGTAATATATAAAAAAAAAAATACTTCTTTAGGCAACTCCCTAATATTTAACTAAAATTATGAATTTTTTTTTTACTTATTTAAAAATTAATCGGTGAATTAAAAACTTAAATCCCTACATCTGAAAGAAATGTGTTGACTGCTGTAAAGTTTTTATCAAATGGTGTTTGCAAATTATAAAAACCTTTTTGTATAAAACACCAAACAGTTTCACACTCAACAGAG